CACATTTTTTTTTTTTTTTTTTGAAAATGCAGAAAACCAACAGTGTAAGAGCTGATTGGAATTGCTTTGACCCAAACATAAGAGTGTGTGCAGTTGTGCTCATAAGTTTACAATCCCAGCAAAATTTTTAAAATTATTGTCATTTTTGCTGCACCAATGCCACAACACAGCCTGCTTACAATATGCTAAACAGCTAGAGAAGCTTCAAAACTTCTGAAACACAATTATTTGGTTTAACTAAACCATAATTGATCTTTGTGTTCACAACTATAAAGGCCAGGAGTCAACAAGGCCTCTAAAGAAAAGCACACCATCCCTCTCATTAAGCATGGTGGTGGATCTCTGCTGTTTTGGGGGCGTGTGAGCTGCAAGTGCACAGGAAATTTAGTCCAAATTTGTGACCAGATAAATGCAGTATATTTTTGGAAAATATTGGGGGAGACTTCGCATTTGTCAGCATTTGGACTTTGTATAATGGACTTTAAAACCTACGGCCAACCCAACCCTCTAATGGCTGCAGCAGAAAAAGTAAATGCTCTGGAGTGGCCATCACATTTTCCTGACTTCATTTAGCCACATGAGAAAATGAAGGGCCTGACTTGCAACTATTGCAAAAGGCTGCAAGTCATCATTGTTGCTAAAGGAGGCAAGAATTAAGGGCATGCACATTTTTTTTCTTTTTATTGCTATGATTAATTTAATGCTTATATTTGGTAATACCAAATAGTTGGTCTGATTACTCGTGTTTGGTCCAAATCTTATCATTTCCTTGAGTGGTATGTAAACTTATGAGCACAACTGCATGAATGCATGTATACTGTAACAGGTTTATGGTGTATTTACAGGAGCTGTATGCAGCAGGAGAAAAACGCCTGGGCACAGATGAATCTAAATTTAATGCCATCCTTTGTACACGTAGTAGAGCACACCTGAACGCAGGTAATTCGAAGCACTCCTGTTTTGCTAAATAAAAATTAACTGTAATTCCAATTTTATCACCTTTTATTTATGCGGTAGCAAATTCTAATAGGAGCGGAACCCATGATCCATACATGATTATAGTAGATATAGCACAAGATGCATATCATGAGAGACAATGGTCGGCAGACATTTCTTGTAGGACGAAGATCTCATAGTAGCTTGAATGGTTATCATACTTGGTGTTGTTGTGTTTTAAATGCACATTAAACACAGGTCAATATATTCACGTTTACTATAGTGCAGGGGCGCCCGCTATTTTTCGTCTGGAGATCTACTTTTCAAATGACGAGCTCATTGAGAGCTACCAACGGAAAAACACCTGCATTCAGGGGCGGGAGGGGGCGTTGCGGTGCATTGAAGTCAATGGCACCGCAGCCAGGCTCCGCAGGCAGGCCCCTCGCCCACAGTGCGATCGCCTGCATTAGTGCCTGTGTTCCAGTCCAGTGCGATCCGCAAAAATGCTGCGAGCACTATTTTTGCAGATTGCACTGGACCGGAATGCAGGCACTAATGTGCCTGCGTTCCGAGTGCGGGCGATCGCAATATGGGCGATGCCATTGACTTCAATACAGCTCCACACCCCCTCCCGCACCTGAACGCAGGGAGTTGGCCGGCTTACATTCCAGTGCGCCCTACATGACACCCGCACGGACTTACAGTTCGGGTGAGCGTATGGCCGCATACTCTCATAGAGAAGAACAGGTTGCTGCGTACAAATCACACGCAGCACCTGTCCTTCCCAGGAGCGGCCCGATATGGCTGTGCACGCAGCACGGATCTATACGGGCCGGCTGTTAGTCGTGTGAATGAGGGATCTGAGTGTGTGTTGGTAGCTTTAGGATAGCCATACATGTTACATTTTAACTGTCCACTCTCCTTTAAATTTACCGGCAATTATGTGTTATGAGGGCCTACCAGACTGAATCTTAATTGCATTGTTTAAGTAGGTCCTCACAAAACATAGTGGTAGGTAAATCCAAAGGAGATTGTATCATCAGATTGTAATAGTGCAACAATGCAAAATCATTTACATGGCTTCCTTAGTTACAACCAAACAGTAATGAGTTTATCTAGTTACTGATCACTGCCAAGCAAATAAGTAACTGATTAGACTATAGACCTTCGACACCCAAACCCCAAGTATAGCATACTAATGTTGAACAAATATGTGGAGATTTTGCCTGAAACATTCTTAACAAGCTGTAACCCCACCTACAAGAGTCCTTTTACTTTTACTGAAGTACTCATACATTTTAATGTATCGCCCAGTTAAACTAAGAAAAGACGAGGTTGGTTGGGTATTGTACTGTTTGCTTTTTGCCGTAGTCCTTTTATTATAAAGATAAAAAAAGCAAACACATTTAGCTAGTGAGGTGATTATCTCTGGCTTTATTCCAATTCCTTTCATAAACATTCTCCTTCAGATAATCATTGCAGATAAGACTGCCATACTTCTTTATGGAACAGCAATAGAAAATGGCTGGCAAAAATTTTGTGAGCACCCATCAATAAAGCAGAAATAGGTCTGGGTCTGATGGTCTTTACAGCTCAGAGCCATTGGAAAGGAGTCATTGTTGGATCTAAAACATTGCAATGATGTGAGGGGTTTTCCTGCTGTAAGAGTTTACACTGTTCTATTTTCATAAAGTGATGACGAGTGATGATGCAGCTATAAAAGTTATAGTTCTGCAAGAAGACCCTTGTTCTGGCCATTTTGTGTTGCTGTTGGAACAAATCTCTGGATGGGTCTGAAGGGGTTGACCTTAGCTGCAAAACCACCTCCCAAATCTGTGTCACCAGTGCCTATGCATACCTTTTTAATACATGTCCCCGCTGTTTACCCTACAAAGTCACTGGTCATTTTTGACAGTGTTGTGTATTGTGAGCAATTGCATAGCGAGTTGCTCACCCCCTGCTCCCATGTGACAGTGCCGGGGTCTGGAAATTGGCTGCTCAAGCCATTGTAGGAAGGCAGGTGACATTTTCCTTCATACCCTGAAGTACTGCCATTTTTATAAAAAGTGATTTGGAGCAGTGGTAAAGCAGCAGTAAATGTAAGCACCAGAGGATGCTTGAACACAGGATGGGGTATTTTTGTCTTTTTTTGACACATTTATTTTAAAAGAGGTGTGTGTGATCTGTTGGATTGTTGGACTTTTTAGTGGAAACCCCACACTAGACCTCAGCAATCCAGTTTTAAAGGAGAGGTGTGTGATCTGTTAGATTGTTGGGCTTCTCAGTGGAAACACCATGCTGGATCTCGGCAATCTAACTTGCTAAACAATAGTGATCAATTATCAGCAGTATTTAGTAGAAAACATTTTACATAGTAAACATTACAGGTATGAAATTTATGAATGCGATTTTTTTTTTTTTTTTTTTTTTTTTTTTTTTGTATTTTTTTTGTATAACAGAAA